TTGATATAGCATATTATAATTATTAGTTGACATCAAATCAATAAAAAGCGTGCTTAAATGAAAATATAGATGATAATAAAAAATAATAATAACAATAATAAAAGGACAGACAAACCTCCATCTCTTGAGTATATATACACGTTACGTCCGGGTCTATATGTAGACCCACAGCACAAAGAACAGACCTGAAAATTCTCATAATGTGCTGCAACTATGGTGTTTCACTACCCAGAAGTCATCCCCTCCGCCTCTCCTTCCTCCCATCAACCCGACTCGACCCACTTTCCAATACTCTCTCTCTTCCCTCCTCCTTAGCCTTCCGGATCGGACACGATCAAACCATTAAACTAGTTAAATCCACCCTTAACGATACCCTCTCACTCTCCTCGGAGAAGCCATCCAGTTTCTACGACTTATTGGGCATACCCGAGACGGGCACTTTGATTGAGATCAAACAAGCGTACAAGCAGCTGGCCCGGAAGTACCATCCAGATGTATCCCCGCCGGGTCGGTCCGAAGAGTATACTCGACAGTTCATTCGTATACAGGAAGCCTACGAAACTCTGTCGGATCCTGAAAGGAGAGCGCTGTACGATTTAGACATGGCTAAGGGACTTCACCTTGCATTCTCTGCCACGAGGCATTCGAAATTCGACGAGGTTCATTCACTGTTTTTGTATTTCATGTTGAGTCATAGCTTAAAAATATCACTTTTAAGCAAAAAAGTGAACTTTAAGATTCATAAATACTTTCATTCATGAACCTTAGAAATAAATTAATTATTTTGATAGCAAGGTAAGAGATAATATGGAAAAAAGTAACTTTATTTATTTGATAGTAAGAAATAAGCAAGTAAATGAGGCAGGCTAAAAAGTTCAACATTTTTTAAATCTTACATGCTTGAAGCGAGTGTTTTTAATGATCTTCAAGAACAATGTTTTACCCTCGGATTATGCTACCTAGAACCACTAGAGAGAAATATGTTTATTATTTATTTAAATTTAGTTTTTTGCTAATCACGTGCATATTAGTTATCTTATTGAGGATTATCCCACTTTGAAAGAAGGATTTTGACAGATTCAATGACAAAAGTAAATGTGGTAACAGATGATTGAATGAAAAAGTTAACTGTGTTTTAAACAATTCGATGACAGAATGCAAATAAATACTTTGCGGACGCGTATCTTTTTTTAAAAAAAAAAAAAAATACAGTGTTCAAATATACTGAGGTGTTTACATGTTGATCGATGCATTTAGCATTGCTCGGTTTAGAATTGTGCTTTCTCACAAAGTTGTATCTAAGGAGGATGAAAAGAAAAGTATTATTTTTTACATTCAAAGAGTGATATGCCTCTACAAATTGATTTGATTATTGTTAAAGTTTGTCTTATGAGGCTTGTTTTTATGGTAATTACAGCAAATTGAAGAGAAGTGTGAATGGAAGAGGCAATGGCAATCTCAACTATTAGGGCTAGAGAGAAGAAGTATGTACAAGGAATCGACTAATAATGTCATGGGGGGACAATCGCGGAGAGAAAGGATTGAATAATCTTAATAATATATTTAACAAGTACGACTATAAATTACAAACTAATATTGTATATCAGACATGCACATTCGGTTATGAATGTACATAGCTTATACATATTTTTCTGGTTTTCAAGAGGGTACATTTATTTGAAATTTCATTATGACATAACTATGTATAAGGGTATGCACGTTCTGCTGGAATGTAGTTGACCCTCTTCTTCTATTTATAATTTTCCTTCACGTGCACCGGCACAAATAATAATTTTGCCTCATCATTGAACTTGTTCAAGTCTAAGAATCCCATCCAAACCTCCATGTAAAATTTGAAACCTCTAGACAAATTTCGACCAACAAAATGATTCAAAATTATATATATGTTCGTCTAAACTTCCAGTGTACAATATCGTGATAAGGAATAAAATGGATTAAAATTCAGGTATCATTTCCTCATATAATAATTATTCACAATTAATTTTTATTCTAAACCTAATTTCAAATTGAACTAATGGGGTTATCAATTGATGATTTAACAATTGAATTGAAAACTAAAATGTATACTAACTCTATCTAATACAATAAATGCTTGAAAACTTTATGGGAGATTTACAAGATCAATTAACATTTACTTAATTCAATATCCTAGAGCCCCTTTTTAAACTTGTTAACAATCGAATTACCCAATTTAACTAGTGATCTCTCTCAAGTAAAACTAGACATATTTACA